TGGGCTGGGAGGGCTTTTCCAAGCTCAGGGATCCTGGGATTCTGTAAGGCTGTTACATGTCAGCACCAGCTGCAGCCTCAGAGCTCTGCCGGGCCCCGAGTCCCAGGTGAGCCAAGTTCAGGGTGTGTGTCCCTATTTGTGGGATGCACCACGGTCTGGTCCAGCTCAAGGAGCCCAAAACTCTGGGCTGAGGTCATGACTGTGACTGTGTCACTCCTCAGGCACAGGACACTGTCCCCAGCCAGGGTGAGCTGTGCCAGGTCAGGATCAGCTTGTGGGAGCTCCCCAGGCCCCTTCCCTTCCCTGCTGCCTCTGCTCTGGGCACTGCTGCTCCTCCTGGGCCACCTCTGCCCTGCCCGTGTGGCACCAAACCGGGTCCTCCTCTGTCACCAGCCCAAGCAGATCTCATCCATGAGGGTGCTAGGCATGGCATGTGACATTCAGGCACATTGTCCAGCCTTTGTGGCCTGGCCTTGGAGCTCTGACAGCACCACGTGGAGCTCGGAGCAGAAATCCCTGGGAGAGGGAGCAGGACAGAGCCCCCGAGACCAGGGCTGGGCTGCTCTCCCACCACGGGCCAAGGGCAGCGTGTCCTTCCCTCTAATGGCACTCAGGGGCATCCCATCTGCTCCTGGAGAGACTTTTCATCTCCACAGGCCTCGAGCTTAATTGCTTTTACCTGCCTGCATCCAAAGATGCCAGGGAGTTTGGGATGTAGCTGGTGACAGATGGTGCAGGAGAAGGTGGCCTGAGCTCCCCTCCCCGTGCCCGTTCCCTCCTCGTGCCCGTTCCCACTCCTGCCCTTGTTCATCCACAATGATCTCATCTCCTCCTCTGCTCTAGCTGAGCCTCCTGCCACCTCAGCTCTCATTTGGACCCAGCTGTGCCTCTGTTCTCTGCAGGAGCTGGAACCTCAAACTTGGGAAGATACAGTAGAGGGAATTTGGGAATTGCCCTCCCCAGGGCCAGGGAAGTCTGTGGGAAAAGCTGGAGGTGGTAAATTTAGTAAAGGAGAAGAAATATGGTGTTTAAGGGAAGTTTTAAAATAGAAGCTGCCAGACTTGTTTGGTTTGTGTTTTCCTGACCCACATTTGGGTGCCTCCCCTGCACTGGGATCCTGGGAACAGGGTGAGGAGGGATTTGTGCTCCTCAGGAGTAGAGCAGAGTCCCCAGGAAGGCAGCACTTCTCTTATGGATAGAATCATGGAAGGGTTTGAGTGGGAAGGGACCTTAAAGCCCATCCAGTCCCACCCCCTGCCATGGGCAGGGACACCTTCCACCAGCCCAGGTTGCTCCAAGCCCTGTCCAACCTGCCCTTGGACACTTCCAGGGATCCAGGGGCAGCCACAGCTTCTCTGGGAAATCCATTCCAGTCCCTCCCCACCCTCCCAGCCAGGAATTCCTTCCCAATATCCCATCTAACCCTGCCCTCTGGCAGTGGGAAGCCATTCCCTGTGTCCTGTCCCTCCATCCCTTGTCCCCAGTCCCTCTCCAGCTCTCCTGGAGCCCCTTTAGGCCCTGCCAGGGGCTCTCAGCTCTCCCTGGAGCCTTCTCTTCTCCAGGGAAACCCCCCCAGCTTAGTCCTTCTGAAATAATTTGTTTGAATGTTATAAAGAAAACCTGAGATGATTCCACTTATTTTGCTTTGCGACTTTTCCCTCCAGGAATTCAGGAGAGGGCTGTGGATGAAGGGACCACGTGGCCCTTGGGGAGTTCCAGGAGCTCTGGGTGGGAATGACTTCAGGCTGTTGTAGGAATCTTCATGGGCACTTCCATCCTGGTGGAACCTGGAGTGGCCCAGCTGGTCATGGGCACCCAGTGGAGGGTTAGGAGGCTGGGGGATAAACCATTTTCCTGTTCCTTTGGGATGCCCATAAATCTTCCCCGTTTTCCCTGATTTCTTTAACTGCTGACTTGTCCCTCCCTCGTTTTTTTATGGATGACCCCAAGTGCAGTGTGTTGTTGTGATGAAAGGACCCTGCAAGCCCTGCCAGCTGGAGGGGGAGCAGCCACACTCAGCATTTGATGGGCATTTAAAGTCAGATTTTATATTTGTGTTTTAATTTCATAACTATTTAAGTGCAGAGTGAAAAGTTGGGGTGTTGTGGCGTCCTTGAGGTTCAATAAGGTGAAGTGCCAGGCTGCCCTTGGGTCACCCCAAACCCATGGAACATTCCAGGATGGGATTTGGGAATCCCCCAGCTCTGGGGGGAGTCAGGAAGGCTGTGGGTGCTGGAGAAACACTTCCCAGGTCTGACATTCCCGAGACCTCCTGGCACAACTGCTGGGATTCTTTGGGAAAGGCAGTGCTGCTGATGTTGGTTCACCAAAACTCTTAGGCTTTGGGTATCCAGAGTGGGATAATTGTGCACTTGGGGGTGCTGAAGTGGAGCTGGGATTTAACAGAGCTCAGAGCACAAAGGATTTAAAGCCTGAAGTGTGAAACTTTACGTTCCTTGGCTTCCTTCCAGTTTTGCCTGTGTCCCAGGATAGAGCCAGGCCAATTAAATGGAAAGGAGGAGAAACCCTTCCTGGTGTGGGAAAAATAAAAAAGCAGGAAGAAAGTGGGAGCCTGCTAAGCTGTGGGACGAAGTGAAGGTCACAGCACAACAGTGCTGCTCCGAGGGGCTGGGCCAGAAAATGGGGCAGTGGCTGATGGTTTTTCAGAGCTCAGCACAGTCATCTGCAGCTGACACTGAGCAGAGCAGGATTCTGGGAGCAGGATTTGGGGAGCTTCCCTCTTTCAGGGTCCCTGCTCCAGCTGGGGCTCCGGTGGGAGACATGGGAAGGTGGTGAGTGGTGAAGAGGCCTCGGCATCCCTGTGTTATTCCATCACACAGGTTGTGGAGTGGTTTGGGTGGGAAGGGACCTTAAAGCCCACCCAGTCCCACCCTGCCATGGGCAGGGACATCTCCCACTATTCCAGGTTGCTCCAAACATTGTCCATCCTGGCCTTGGACACTCCCAGGGATCCAGGGGCAGCCACAGCTTCTCTGGGCAACCTGTGCCAGGGCCTCCCCACCCTCCCAGCCAGGAATTCCTTCCCTATATTTAACCTAAACTTCCCCTCTTTCAATCTGAACCTTTACTGTTGTCCTGTCACTGCAGTTCCTGATGAAGAGAATGTTTGGAGAGGCAGGAGCTGTGAGTGGGGTGGGGGAAAGCATGGTCAGGTCCATGATGGAACAAAGGTGGAATGTGGATTTGTGCCCCAGAGGGGAAGGTGGGAATGTCTCCCATTTGGCTTGAGAGTGGAGAGGGATCCAGTGGGAGAGTCCCCAGAAGGGGTGGAGAGAAAACCAAGGGGATTCAGGAGCTCTGAGACCTTTTCCTCTGGGGTCCTGCAGCAGCAGGTTAAAGGATGTTCCAGGTTCCACCTTGAGAAGCCACGTGGGCTCCTTGGTTCAGACCGTGGAGCAAACAGCATGTCCCAGCTGGGGGACAGTGGTTGGCCTTGGCTGGCCAGGTCTGGCATCCAGAGGTGACAACTCTGCCTTCCTCCCTGCAGACCTTGCCCGTGTCCTGTTCATTTACTCACTGTTAGTTCATTTACTCACCCCTCCTGTTGGTTCATTTACTCACCCGTGCTGGAGCGTTTCGTGAGCGCCGCGGCCCCAAACCGTGACTCAGCCGGTGCCTCATTTCCATGTTTATGGCTCCTCAGGTCCCAGTGACCTTCAGAGCCGATGGCTGGGGCTCACAGCAGTGATTTGTGGGCCTCGCTGGGCCGTTTATTCCTCTTCTCCTGTCAGCAGCAGCTTTCCCTTGGCCGCTGCCCGCCCGGCACACGGCTCCCCCGGGACAGGAGCTGGCACAGGAGCCGGGCTCTGGAACTGGGAACTGGGAGGAGAATGGCCTGACTTTGCAGGAGGAGGCAGAACAGGCTTTGGAGTGAGTTGAGTTGTCAGGAGAGGCTGTGTCCCTGCAGGGGCTGTGTCCCTGTGTAGGGTCAGGGCCTGCTGGATCCAGGCTGGTGCCGTGAGGGTGCTTTTGGGCTTCCAGGCATGGGTTGCTGCAGCTCCAGAGCTCCTTGGGATCCATCTGCTCCTCTCCCTGCCAGCCCAGAGCTCTGGACCTCACTTCTCAGAAGTTTTGTCTTTGCACAGCAAGAACGAGCCAGCTGAGGTACCTCCCACCTTCATCTTCATCTATTCGGGAAGGAATTCCTGGCTCTGAGGGTGGGGAGGGGCTGGCCCAGGGTGCCCAGAGAAGCTGTGGCTGCCCCTGGATCCCTGCAAGTGTCCAAGGCCAGGTTGGAATAGGGCTTGGAGCAGCCTGGGCTAGTGGGAGATGTCCCTGCCCGTGGCAGGGGGTGGCACTGGATGGGCTTTAAGGTCCCTTCCAACCCAAACTCATTCCATGATTCTGTTGGTGAGACCAGGCTTCAGCATTCCCAGGTCCCCGAGAGCAGTGGGATAGTCCATGGCATGTCCAGGTACCCTCAGGGGCAGAGGATCAGCTTAGGAACCAACAGGACATGGACCTCATGGGCTGCCCCAGTGAGGGCTGAGGGACCTGGCTGGTGGCTTTGCCAGGCCACTCTCCATCATTCCATGAATCCATAATTCTGTGATCTCTCACAGGTCGTGGTGGTCAGGAGAAGCTCCTGCAAATGTCACTTCTGTCCTCAAGAAAGGCAAGGCAGGAAGGGTGGGGAGCTCCAGGCTGGTCGGTCTCACCTTGATCCCTGGGAAGGGGGTGGAACAACTAACCCTGGAAGCCTTTTCCAAACAGCAAAGGCCGAGCTGGTGACTGGGAGCTACCAACCTGGACTGGGGAATCCTGAATCCTGCTTGGCCAAGGGCTCCTGTGCTGAGGCCTCAGGCCTGTGGGATGAGGGAGAGCAGGAATGTTGTTTTCCTTGACTGGAGCAATGTTTTCATGTTGTCTCACGTCACATCCTGAGGAACAGACCGGTGACATATCGACAACTTTCAGTCTTTCCCTGAGAACCCCGTTTGTCATTCCCTTAAAATCTGGCCCGGTTCCTGACAAGCCGGATCCTCAGCCCTCCCAACGCTCAAGGAACAGCAAAACCTTAACGAGGAGCAGTGTAATTGCAGAGCCAGAACAGGAGGCTCTGGAGAGCTGGCTGAGCTTTGGAAGCTGGAAGTACAAAGTACTACAAAAGGGGAATTTTCCAGCGGGAGCTGTTAGCGGAGCCGCTACAGCACGGCCGGGAGCGCCGGGAAACAAGGGCCGGGATTTGGGGCCGTTCCAGACGGTGACAACATCACAACCTTTGGAGAGCAGGAGCATTTGCATCTCGAGAAAAGATCTAGAGAGGAGCTGAAATGATTCTGCTGTTTGGCTGCCGCGCCGGGCGTGTGCCTGTGTTTGTTTTTCCCTTGCTGCCTGTAGGATTAATGCCTGGATCCAGGAGTCGTGCGGCTCCTCTCCTTTGGGGAATTTGCTTTGGCTGCTGGAGCAGTGCTTAATTTATTAATAACTGCCGGGTTTGGATTTAGCTCCGACTGACACAGCACGGAGGGGATGGGAGCAGGGATGGATCTGGCCTGGGAGGGGCTGGGAGCTGAGTTGGAGAGGCAGCAGCACGTGGAGGAGTTGGGATGTGTCTGTGCCTGTTGGGGGGTATTGAACTCCATGGTAATTCCCGGGTTTATTTGCTTTTTCTGAGTCGTGGAATGGTTTGGGTTGAAGGGACCTTAGAGCCCGTCCAGTCCCACCCCCTGCCATGGGACACTTTCCACCAGAAGGGGTTGTTGCCTTGGCCAATTCCTCTCCCCCTCTGCATCCCGTTGTGCCTGTGGGGCTGGGGCTCCTCTGTCACTCTGAGGATGTCAGAGGTTATGGCTGGTCCCAAATTTCCAGGAAATGGTTTCACCAAAGCCTGTGTTGTGTCTGGGTCCCCCATTTACACCCATCTTACAAAGTTGGGAGGTTGCCAATTTGGTGTTTCCTTTTCTCAGCACACACCTGCAGGAAGCTCACTGTGCACTTCTGTCTTCTGGACATGGGGGACAGAAGCTTTTGGAGGCTTCTTGAGGTCCTTTCTTCCTCCAGACCAGGCCAGAGCAGTGTTCTGTGCTCTGCCCTGT